TAGAAGTTTAATGCGATCACTTTCAGGGAGGGCTGGGACAGAGGGAGGGAGGAATGGGACAGGGACTTTTCCTTATAAGTTCTTAATCATATTTCATTATGTTTTTATATGTACAAGTACTACTTTGATACAAGACTTAATGATAAAGTCAAAACTAATAAAACTAAATAAAGGGCTCAGAGCCGGTATAGATATCAAGAAAGAGAATTTCCCCACAAATAGTAATAAGGGCTGTGACCCAAGAGAGGGACATCCCTCAGTCGCCGAGAGCCGAGTGGGACCAGCAGAATAAGAACAGCCAGACAAAAGGGAAGACAGGCAAGACAGAACAGAGACCACTTTCTAGACACACCTGGCTCGGATCTTTCACTGATCCTTTTGGGAGAAGGAAACTAGAAAGTACTAAAACCATATGTTGTTGTAGTTTTTTGCACATCTGCTTCCTCCCATGTAGAAACACGTCTTTGGTTCTCTTCCTCAACGTGGATGCAACCACACTCAACAAATGAGCTCCTAATCCTCAGCAAGTCCTGCGGTCAAGAGCCCTTCAGGCGTGTCACGGATAGACATCTGCACTGGCCAGAACCAAAGGACAAGTTCAAGGGAAGTTCCTCTGGCAGAATGCCAATATGAATTGACTCTGTCCTAACCATGCAAATACACACAAATACGTACACACACACACTGTGTTCTTGGGAGGGATTTTTTTTTTCTTAACTGTTGTCTTCTGGCCTTTTTACTCAGTAGTTGCACAGCTTTTTAATTGAACACCCACTTTCATCTTAAGTAGAACGATGAAGTGTAAATTGCGTTGCATGAGCTGAGCAAAGGTACAGAATGTTCTTGTCCATAGCATGACTTGGAACAACAGATTACGATAATGTCAAAACTGACCACAAAAGCAATTTAACCATACCAGAAAGCTGCTCTGATTTCAAAGGATATTGCTGTATTGGAGACTTCTTACAACGAAGGCTGCATCCTATTGCTGTACAGCAACGTCTTCATAAGCATATATTCATTGTTGAAATAGCCCACCAGGCTTGAAGGTCTGCTATATATAGTCTATAAAATAAAATGTGACTAAAAAAAACAGAGCTTTGTCTAAAAATGATGCAGTTTTTTTAAAAAAAAAATCAAATTATGTTCAAAGAGTTGCTTGTGTAACCCAAAGCAACGGGGATTAAAAAAAAAAAAAAATTTAAATGGCAAACCCAGCATATGGGCCCACACTAAGTCTCCAGCAAACCCTAGCTATAAAGAAAATAGGTGGTAAGCTGGTAGACACAGAAGGAGGCATTTCTAAATAGACTGGGGACTTGTAGGCACTTTTTAAGTCTAAAACCAAGGAGGCTTCTAAAATCCTTCCTTCCGTAGTTACAAAAAAAGACCATCTTGCAACAGTCATTATCAAAGGCCTGTTCACCATGATGAAGAGCCCCGGTGACTTTAAGATTGCTGTGGCCGTGAGAAGCCATTTCAGTCACTTCTCGCCCGTAGCCTGTGCAGAGCTGGGGGTGAGTGACTCCAGAGCAGCCCTAATGAAGCGTGTACCTCACATGCAGCTGCTCCCCGAGTACCCACATGTATGTGGGCACATGGACCGTATCTGGCTAAGGAGTGCCGAAGGAGGGAGTTCTCGTGTGGATGGTTACATGGGGGGGTTCAACTGCTTAGTGACAGGAGGGCATTGTGATTCATGCCACGGACCCTGACACTCAGTCTGGGCTCAACTCCCAACTCAGCCACCTACTTGAGGTCTCTGTGCTTCTGATCCCTCACCTATTAAACAAGAACGGTATCTCCTTCACAGGATTTTGTGAAAATTAAATGAGTACATATATATAGCACTTAGGACCGTGCCCTACACAGAATAAACACAACATAAGGATTGGCTATCACTTCTATTCTCAGTTTATACTTTTTTTTTTTTTAAAGATTTTATTTATTTATTTGAGAGAGAGAGAATGAGAGACAGAGAGTATGAGAGGGAGGAGGGTCAGAGGGAGAAGCAGACTCCCTGCCGAGGAGGTAGCCCGATGCGGGACTCGATCCTGGGACTCCAGGATCATGACCTGAGCCGAAGGCAGTCGCTTAACCAACTGAGCCACCCAGGCACCCATTCTCAGTTTATACTTTTGTTACCATGAAGTCTAAGCTAAAATATGGCAGATTAATGAAAGGGAACCGACTGTGGTGGAGACAACCAAACTTTGAGGCCAAGACAGTCCTGTCCACATTGGGGTGGCCAGGGAGGCGGCACCTCTGGGTTCAAATCCCACCTCCTCCATTTTTGCCACTGTGATAAGACAGAGATTAGTCCAGTTATGCCCAACCTGAAAAAGGGTTGTGAGGATTAAATGAAATTCCATCAGTGAAAGTAGCTGAAAGGGAAAGTAACCCAGCAGGTGCGCCCTGAGCAGTGTTTTACTTTCGATTCCCTTACAAAGTGGCAACCTACCAGACAGCAAGCCCTCCTGGGACTGAATTAGCACATGTGTCTTGTTTCCTACTGTTGTCACCAATGCAGTAATAAATAGCTGTGCTGAGTATGTGCTCAGTCAATGGCAGTTGAGTGAATGAACATATTAGCGTGTTATTGATAAGTGAGAGAATATATGTGCAAAGGGTCTATTTCTAGGAGGTTGTGCCATCCCTTACAAATTGATACTCAAACAAGAGATTTCACTGAATTGACCACCCCTAAACAACTGATACAGATGAAATTTAATTAATAAACGAGGTGCTGAGGTGGAGCCGGGTGGCTCAGTCGGTGAAGCGGCCAACTCTGGATTTCGGCTCTGATCATGATCTCGGGGTCCTGGGCTCAAGCCCCACAAAGGGCTCTGCACTCAGTGGGGAGTCAGCTGGAGGATTCTCTCTCTCCCTCTGCCCCACCCCCCGACTTGTGGGCATGCGCTCACTCTCGCTCTGTAAAATAAATAAATCTTAAAAAAGTATAAGAGGTGTTGAGAGTAACTACAATAACTAAAATAGTTTTGGGATATGGGGAAATTATGAAAAGATTGGGATTAACCTAAATGCTGTATGATAATTGATATTTAGGCAAAACACTCTCATGAAACGTGACAAGCCTTTATAAAGAATGAAACAATTAAAAACAGGGAGATAGTACAGGGATATTTTATGTATATTTTTAGGTAAATTAGAAAATGTTTCCAGTCCTAAAGATGTCTGACCTCAGATGAGGAAGTCCAACAGAAATTAAAAATCCACACACTAGTGGTATAGAGAACACCAAAGTTACTCCTTTTTCAGGTCAGACACCAACACTCTAAAGTCTTCTATACAAAAATTGCAAATGAGACAATGTTCGAAACCTGTCTTCTTAGGGTGATACAAAGCTCATGAGGTAAATACCACCTGAACAGCACAAGAATACAAAAGGTGCACGCAGAATTAAGAACTAAGGATCCATGGGATGACCTCAGAACAGAGCTTATCCCATCATAACAGGTTCTGAAATAAAACCCAAAGAGAAGTTTTCAAATGTTTTAAGACACTGATTCATCATTAAAATAAATACATCGCCCTTCTACACGAGTTTCTCTGAAGAGCACAATGTATATTTAGAAGTACACATTTCAATTTGCTTGCTAAATTTCGATCTCAATTCCTTATACTGTGCTTGTTTTGTACACATATATGAGGATAGTTTGAGGGTAAAGTGAGCTTAGGGGTTGGATGATCTGAGGAAAACCTCAGGAGAAGTAAAATTTACAGTGGTGAACCAAAGTTCTGGAGGGATACTACAAGAAAAGGGTGTGCATCTATTTTCCAAGTAAGATGCCTTAGTAAGTAACAATAAATTGTCAAGGTACGAACTCAGAGAGTGATCTTAAGGGCAATGCCCAGGTCAAGGTTTCCAGAAGAGTCCAGGTATCAAACGTGCCAATGTTAGGTACCAAACTACTCCATTTCATAAAGCAACCAATTCTCAAATATTCTTGCTAGAGAGAACGAATCTAAATAATATGCCCAGTTTTTGATGTTTTTTCCTTCAATTAGCAGTCTACCGTTGTGTTTTTAAAAACATTCTCCCCTTCTGTTTTTAACAATAAAGATCCCTACACAAAATTTTAATACTGTCATCATCCTGTGAAAAGAAAAATTCCATACCAAAATTGAAAAAAGAATCAGGATTTCTCCCTCATTCTCTGAAAAAATAATACATAAATAATAATAATAATAATAATAAAGAAGAGCTTTGTTTTGGTATCTTCTGATCTTCTAAGCACATGAGTGCTGGAAAATGGAATCACTTAAATAACAACTCGGATTGTGACCCCTCACAAAACAGAGTAATAGTGGGAACATTTTTGTGACTCCAAGGAAGCAAATGTTTCTAATTAGTGAACAAGATCAGCGGAGGTAGCTGCTCCCGGCATCTGCGCCTCCCATTAGGGACACTATCCTGCAGAGCAAAACAGCAGAACTGCCTGAATTCTGTTTGTGAAGGTTGCCACCTGCCGAAGAACACGCAGTACTGCAGCCAGCTTCCAGGGCGGAGCGCGTGGAGAGTGATGGGGGAGGAAGGAAAAAGCAGATAATCCTGCGATCTGGCGACACTTCCGTGCCCAAAAAAGGCAAGCAGGGGGTGGGGCACGGGTTCAGCAGATACAGCTCTGGGAACAGGAGGGTCAGGCTGGAAGGCTTTGTGTGGAGAAGGTACTTGCTGGGCCTCACGGGGTCACTAGGGTTTAGCAAAGGAGGAAAGCATGGGAAGCAGAAGTAGGTTGGAGGCGGACAGAGAGGTGAGGAAGCCATGATGAGGACTGAGCCCAGTGAGCGGATGAGAGCCACCCGAGAAGAGTGTTTACACCGGGCACTTGCAGGAAGTGACATGAAATGCTGAAGGCCTCGGGTTAGTGCGTTAGGCCTCCTCCCCAAAGCAAAGAAGAAACCCCTGAAGGTTCATCAAGGCCTCGGCAAATGAGCCTCAGTTAAGAGCAGCGGGATAATCATTTCACAGTACCTACGTGTATCGAGTCCTCCTGTTGTACAACTTAAATTCACACAATCCACATTTGCCGGTTACGCCTCAGTAAATCTGGGAAAAAATGTAGAATAACAAAAACATGTAAAGAACCAGTGGATTATGGAAACAGAGCTCAGTGAGAAATTACCGTACAGATGGTAAACCTCTTGACTCTTTGGAAATGGTCTCAAAGGAAATTACTTGGATTAAAGATTGACATAGTGATCTGACAGGTAGAACAGTGATCCTAATACCATCCTGGGCCACCCAGCGCTAGAAGCTACAGCACCTGTGGCTGCCCCCTCGATCCGTCAATATGGGAGCCCCAACCCTGCCTCCAAGGCACTGAAGCCCGGATTCTGCCCGTTCACGCACCTCTTTCTCCGCTCCCATAAAAGCAATGTTCCCACTTCTACTTCATTCACCTGTTCTAAATATATTAACAGAGACCCAACCATATTCCTGGCACAGGAACAAAGGTGAAGGCAGATATGGCCCCTTCCCTCGTGGTACTTACCATCTAGTGAAGCATGGAGAGAGTAATTAACTACACAAATGCTAGTATAAAAGTTACGAGTACTCTAAATTCAAGGCTGTGAGAGCCTAACTAGGGGCAACTGGACGAGTCCGAGGGCGGAGGAAGGTACGTTTAAGGGGATTCTTACTAAGGAAACAATATTTGGCCAATACGCATTGGTTATGGCTGCCAGGGGTGTCTTCAGGAGCACCTGCTGCCACAAAGGGGCAGGCAGGAACACGGGGTTTGGAGGCCTCAGGCCTGCTTCCGCCTTTTAACAGCTCTCTTTCTCTGGACAAGTCACTTGAATTCTTAGTCTCAGTTTCCTCATGTACAAAATGGGGAAAGTAGCGGGAATCAAATGATAAAATACACGGAATGTGCTCAGTGCAATGACTAGAACATAGTATGCCTACAGTACATGTAAGCTGATATTTTGGTATTATTAACCCTCTCTGCTTTCATGCGCAAGTGTGGACAGTGAGGAAGAGGAAAAGGGAAGATTTGCATTTAAAGACCACAATGGCTATATGCTATTTATATGTGATAGGTTATTGAACTTTTGGATTCCAGATAGAACATAGAATCCATTATGACACAGAAGCAAAAACTAATACGATTAGAACTCTTAGGGCGCCTGGGTGGCTCAGTTGGTTGAGTGACTGCCTTCGGCTCAGGTCACGATCCTGGAGTCCCGGGATCGAGTCCCGCGGGGGGTTCCCTGCTCCATGGGGAGTCTGCATCTCCTTCTGACCCTCCTCCCTCTCATGCCCTCTCTCATTCTTTTTCAAATAAATAAATAAAATCTTAAAAAAAAAAAAAAAAACTCGGGCACCTGGGTGGCTCAGTTAGTTAAGCGACTGCCTTCGGCTCAGGTCATGATCCTGGAGTCCCAGGATCGAGTCCCGCATCGGACTCCCTGCTCAGCAGGGAGTCTGCTTCTCCCTCTGATCCTCCCCCCTTTCATGCTCTGTCTCATTCCCTCTCTCAAATAAATAAAATCTTAAAAAAAAAAAAACTCTCTTAGCCACCTAGCTGGAAATTGAACTGTTATGTTTAACATTGTGTACATGAGAATATGTGTTCCAATCCAAAATAAATTAGGCAAAAAATCCCTTTGAATACAATGCATTTGTATATTGGTGACTGTCATTCTTTCACACATAGAAGAGTTCTATAGGTGAGAGCAATGTTTTACATACAATGGAAAGCTCCTGAAACATGGGGCAATGCCTTTCCATGGCTGTTGGCTATTTCACCTGGAAAGGACCATAGTGATACCATGTCCACTGGGAAATTGTCATGGAAGTCACAGGACTTACCCAGGGACAGGGAAATGCACCTGGGGCTGAAGTCCCTTAATCAGTTTCCTTTCCTATATCTCTTTAAAAGAGCTGCCCCTAACTAAAGAGGATGTTTTCTCTCTTCTAAGCCTTTTATTATGTTCACAGGACCAGTATATGTCAGGAAGAAACAAAAACAAGCAATTTGGAGAGTTTGATGACTCAGTCCATTTGAATAATTGGGTGATGCAGGTAGATATCTGGCTTAATTTCTTTGAGTAAACTTATGTGAATATTCTGCCTAAAATGAAGTCTGGGATATTAAAATATTTTAACTCTGTTCAGAATGATTTACAAACATGTGAGAAAAACCTATGCACATAAAAGATGGGAGGAAAATGTATTAAAATGTATAAAAACTGGTTGGTTTTGGGTGCCTGGGTGGCTCAGTTGGTTAAGCGACTGCCTTCGGCTCAGGTCATGATCCTGGAGTCCCGGGATTGAGTCCCGCATTGGGCTCCCTGCTCGGCAGGGAGTCTGCTTCTCCCTCTGACCCTCCCCCCTCTCATGCTCTATCTCATTCTCTCTCTCAAATAAATAAATAAAATCTTAAAAAAAAAAGAACTGGTTGGTTTCCTGTGAAGGTGACACAAAGAAATGGAAAGACATTCCCTGCTCATGAATTGCAAAAACAAATATTGTTAAAATGTCTATACTACCCAAAGCAATCTACACACTGAAAGCAATCCCCATCTTAAAATACCAACAGCATTTTCCACAGAACTAGAAAAATCCTAAAATTTGTATGAAATCCAAATAGCCACAGCAATTTTGAAAAAGGAAACCAAAGCTGGAGGCATCACAATTCCAGACTTCAAGCTATATTACAAAGCTATAGTAATGAAAACAGTATGGTACTGACACAAAAATAGACACATAGATCAATGGAACAAAACAGAAAACTCAGAAATAAACCCACAATTATATGGCCAATTAATCTTCGACAAAGGAGGAATGAATATACAATGGAAAAGGACAGTCTCTCACAAATGGCGTGGGGAAAACTGGACAACTACGGACAAAAGAATGAAACTGGACCACTTTCTTATACCATATATAAATTCAAAATGTATTAAAGACCTAAATGTGAGACCTGAAACCATAAGTAGCCTAGAAGATGAAGCTGTAACTTTCTCTAACAGCTGTAGCAACTTTTTTCTAGATGTGTCTCCTGAGGCAAGGGAACTAAAAGCAAAAATAAACTATTGGGGCTACCTCAAAATAAAAAGCTCCTGCACAGCAAAGGAAACAATCAACAAAACTAAAAGACAACCTACTGAAGGGGAAAAGATATTTGCAAATGACACATCCAACAGAGCATCCAAAATATATAAAGAACTGATACAATTCAACACCCCCCAAAAAAGAAATAATCCAATTAAAAAATGGGCAGAAGACATGAATAGACATTTCTCCAAAGAAGACATCCAGATGGCCAACAGACACATGAAAAGATGCTCAACATCCCTCATCATGAGAGAAATGCAAAGCAAACCTACAATGCAGACCCCACCCGTCCCTCGGTCCTGGAGCTGCCTCTAGCTGTCTCTTCTGCAGGTGGGCTCCACAGCCTAACGTCCTGACCCCAACACCCACCCGTGATTGCCGGCAGAGGCCTGGGAGGGGTCACCACCAGGGTTCCCACCAAACCACAGACAGTATGGCAGCCATCCATCCCTTCCAGCAGCTGGCTCGTGGCCACCCACGACTATTACCAGCGCCACCTGGGCTCCACTTCGAGTAATAGGAAGTGCAGAGTATCCTGGAGAAGCTACAGCTCACCACCCCAGGCTCCCCATGGCCCACCTGGGTTACTGGTGGGCAAGCTGCTTCTTTGGGAAGTCCACACTCCCATTCATGGCTACAGTGTTGGAGTCCCCAGAACATGCGGAGTCTCTCAGGCCTCCAGCCGCACGATCACCATGAGAAAGCAGTCTGATAGCCAGCCTGGCAAAGCCAACACTGGGCCCCAGTCCTGAATGGCCACCACCAGGCTTCACGAGGCGCTAGACTCATCAGAGCCTCCCCCATACCGAGCTCCCTGCTTCCCTCCTGTAGACTCGGTAGGCTACAGCAAGCAGAAAAGCAGTAACTTTCTCTGACAGCTGAGCAACTTTTTGCTACAGTTGGGCTATAATTGTAAGCAACAGTTGGTAAGTAACAACAAGCAGAAACAGTTGGGCTCTTTTATAGCAAAACAGCAAAACACCAAAAAGGATGTTAAGAGAACCCCACTCTGTACTATTCAAGCCACATGCAAGCTTTCATGACACCCCTGGAACTGTGCACCTTGGAGTTACAGACTCCAAGTTATAAACCTGGAAAACAAACTCCAAGCAGCCAGTCAAAACAAAAACAAAAACAAACCAAACAAAACCTACATGCACTATCTTCTCACACCTGTCAGAATGGCTAAAATCAAAAACACAAGAAACGTGTTGGTGAGGATGGAGAGAAAAAGGAACGCTTGTGCACTGTTGGTAGGCATGCAAACTGGTGCAGCCACTCTGGAAAACAGTATGGAGGTTCCTCAAAAAGTTAAAAATAAAACTACCTCGTGATCCAGCAATTGCACTACTAGGTATTAATCCAAAGAATACAAAAACACTAATTCAAAGGGATACAGGCATCCCACTGTTTATAGCAGCATTATTTACAATAGCCAAGATATGGAAGCAGCCCAAGGGCCCATCAACTGATGAATGAACAAAGTGGCATAAATATATATAATATATACATAATGGAATATTACTCAGCCATAAAAAAGAATGAAATCTTGCCATTTGCAACAATGTAGATGGAGCTAGAGAGTATAATGCTAAGCAAAATAAGTAAATTAGAGAAAGAAAAATACTTCCATATGATTTCACTCATATGTAGAATTTAAGAAACAAAAGAGCATAGGGGAAAAAAGAGAGAGGGGCAAACCAAGAAACAGACTCAACTCTAGAGAACAGCTGATGGTTACCAGAGGGGAAGTGGGTGAGGGGATGGGTTAAACAGGTGATGGGGATTAAGGAGGGCACAGGTAATGAGCACAGGATGATGTACAGAATTGCTAAATCGCTATATTGTACACCTGAAACTAATACTGTAAACTATTCTGGAATTAAAATAAAAACTTTAAAAATACGTTTTCTCTATTTTTCATATTTCCTCCAAGGGGTGTACAAGTTTGACATAAAAAGGAAAACCTTTTACTACATGGGACCAAAAACAATAAATTAAAAACACAGATAACAGATTGAAAACATGAAACTTCTTGTAACTGGGGAAAAGGATATTCACTTTCCACAACTCTCAATAATTTCTCCTTATACTCAGGTACCATGGAAATGCTAGAAGAACTGGGGTACATATTTTTATTTTTTAATCATATCATCTGGAAGCAGTCCAATTCACTAAAAATCAATTCCCAGAAAACTATTTCAGTGAATTACCAAATTAGAGCAAACTGGTTTTGGGGGGGTGGGGGCGGGGAAGGACCTAAAGCTGCATTGCCCAGTTGTTTGCTAAAATAGACCTAATTCACGTTGGAAATAGTAGTACTGGCAATGAGTGGATAGTCCCCACTTCTCCTGCATTTAACTGCTTATTATTTACCTGGAAAGAGTTCAGTGATTTCTAAGGCCATTTCAGTAAAGTGTTAAACTCACGGGGGCTCCTAAGAAAGCAGCTCTTTTTCTTACTTTGATGCTGGAACAATACAAAGCACTGGATGCTCAGATCAGGCTCGCCAGATTCAGAGATGTTACCCTGTCTCAGGCGACATAAGCAGCAAGGAGACGTCCAGGACCTCTAATCCAGCTTCCCAAGTCCTTTCTTGTGTTGTTTGCCAATATCTAACATATGCAATCATCGCTTTCTCACACACACACACACACACACACACACACACACACACACACACACATGGCTATCTCTGCCATTAAGTAGCTTTTGTATTCCTATAGTTACGTAGCCGTGGTTCTCAAACTGGCCCTAGCACACGGAAGGCAGGGAGAGACTGAGGAAAGAGGCAGAGCCCCCGGGATTGATGGGTGGCGGGTTTAAAAAGCTCGGGAACTTAACTTACGAGGCTTGTCTCCGGCGGCCGCAAGACGAGTAAACCTCCGCATCCCACTGCCGGTCTTTACAGTTTGTATACAGAGGTCTTACCTGGGCTCAGTCACGTATTCAGGCCAGGTGATCTCAACAACACCTTGCTCTCTCTCGAGGCTGTGTCCTTAAAACGGCTCCGGCTGCGGGAATGGTGGGTGGACCCTGCACTGCGAGGACAGGGGAAGGGGTACCGAGCCTCCGATTGCCAGGGGCCCACAGTCGTGTCATCTGGATGACCTCCCCCGACAATCGATAATCGCTTCTGTGACTTTTTCCAGGAAGCCAGACCCCATAAATCCATAGATCCTTGGTCTGTTGATCATGATCAATTCTAGACAGACCAGGTACTTTCTGCTATGCTAAGAATATTCCACAGTTAAGGACTCTCCCATCAGAGAAAGCCATTAGAAGTCTGTCATTACTATGTTTATAAAGAGATTTGACCAAGTCATCTCTCTGGCCAGGGAGTCTCTCAGTAAAAAGAGAACCGGTTGCATGCCTTGTGCCACCTTCCCAGCCGTCAAGAGAAAAATAATTTGTGTTTATTTGCTTCTTTTCTTAAAAGCTTTTCTTTCTCATTTCAAAAAAAAATGTTTGAGGCAAAAAATACAGATAAGCAAAATAATTTAAAAATATTTGAAGTACTTAAATCAACATAATCCCTCATCCCTCTGGGTAACCATCAATAGATTGTTAGATGCTTTTTCCGCCTTTTCTAATAAATGCAGAGTATTAATGAAATGACATCAGGCTAATGGTCCTTGAGACACATATAAATTATAAACAAGACATAGGATGGGGGTAGATTTCTAGAAGAGAAGTGTGAGGAGCTCTGCTAACCTCCCCAGCAAAACAACCACACTGGTCAAGAATTTTTTTTTTTTTTTAACTTTAAATCTCTAGAAATTCTCCTAAGGGTATAGAGCACTTAGAGAGCCCTTAGAGAAATATTTACTCAAGAAAATCTACTAAAGGGCGCCTGGGTGGCTCAATCGGTTAAGCGACTGCCTTCAGCTCAGGTCATGATCCTGGAGTCCCGGGATCGAGTCCCACATCGGGCTCCCTGCTCAGCGGAGAGTCTGCTTCTCCCTCTGACCCTTCTCTCTCTCATACTTTCTCGCTCTCTCATTCTCTCTATCAAATAAATAAAAGGAAAGGAAATCTACTAAATTTCAGTACAAAACACAAGAGTTGGTGGCATTGCCCCTCATCCAGCTCAGCATGTTGGAGGTGCTAACCCAGCTGGGGCAGCCCAGAACAGGGGGTTTGCACTCCCCCCAGCTCTAAGTCTGGGGCCACAGGATCTCTCTGGGAGGACCAGGCCACCAGCATTTCTCATCCCCCCACCAGGTTCATGTAGCAGAAGTTCTATCCCAGGCAAGAATAGCTGAGAGGTCCAGGGGTACCTTCTAACACCCTCGAATCATGGGACAGCAGCTCTGTCCCAGGCACACAGGCTAACAATCCTGGGACCCAAATCCCCTTGATCCCCTTGATCCTCTCACTCATAGGCAGATTCCGTGTCAGGAGAAGCAAGTTGAGAAGACCACAAGTTACCCCACCATGCAGCATTCTGCTCAGGAAGCAGGAGTGTCATTCTGAGAGAAGGGGACCGTGTCCCTGCCCCAAGCTCTATGGCGGTTGACCATAGATTTTGCCCAGTAAGAGAGACAAGCCGTAAGAACAGAAAGCTTTGAATCTCTCCTCAAAGGAATGATTTTATTAGGAACAGGGTATGGGGAAGTTTAAGTCTAAGGGCACGATTGAAACAGTGGAGATTTTAATGGTAAGCAATTAAGAGAAGGCTGGTAACCTCATAAGACTAACAAGCTGAACTGTATGGATGCCTGGGTGGCTCACTCAGTTAAGCATCTGCCGTCAGATCAGGTCATGATCGCAGGGTCCTAGGATCGAGTCCCGCATCGAGCTCCCTGCTCAGTGGGGAACCTGCTTCTCCCTCTGCCTGCCATTCCCCCTGCTTGTGCTCTCTCTCTCTCTGACAAATAAAATCTTAAAAAAATAATAATAATAAGCTAAACTATAGACCAATGGAAGTAAAACAGAGAGAACTAAGACAAAAGACAGCTAAAACAACCCTCCTGGGATCAGAGCAAATCTCAAAGACTGACCTCAAAGACTCACTCCTGAAAAAAGGACCCAAATTTAATTGGACAAGATTGTAGAACAATTTAGGTCCCAGGGCATTGTTCAAAACAGTAGCGCAACCAGCTAGAAATTAGTGAAGACTAATGCCTGGGTGTGATACCAACAGAGAGGGACAGCCTAATAGAGAGATGAGGGAAAGAGGCAGCCAAAGCCAGCCCTGCTAAAGTTACTGTCATCCCACGGTGACTGTGGGCATGCCCAAGGCTGTACCCTCTCAGGTGCAACATCAGAGGCTTTACCCTAGAGCAGGGAAACCTCCAGCCACGTCACTGAACAAATAAAAAAAGAAATGACACATGAAAGTAACTTAAATCCAAAGGGATAAAGGAAAAAGAACCAGAAAGTACATAAAGAGAGTTAACATAACAAGTACTACAGTAGGGTTAAAAGCCCTGCTCTATGAAAGTGGCCCTTCCGTTAACATTCTAGCTCAATCTTCGGGAGACGTGATCAAGGTGAGGAGTCTGACTCCATGCGGCGAATACCACACTGGGAGGGAGGTGCCTCTTCTGTCCTTTTGCACTGAGTGAATGAGGGTTGGACAGTCACCCTCAGTCTGGCTCACTGTCTGAAACTGATCACCTAAACCCCTGATTCCTCAACAGGTGGAATGTGAATTATGACACTAAGTGTCCATCCATCCGGGCATCTGTAACAAAGATCCCATGTTATAAGCCCACTGAGGGGCTTGTAAATGATAGAAACTTATTTCTCACAGTTCTGGAGGCTGGAAAGTCCAAGATCAAGGTACTGGCAGAGTCTGATGAGGGCTCGCTTCCTCAACTACTTTGCTGTAACCTCACGTGGGGGAGGAACAAGGGTGCTTTGCCAGTCTTCTTCAACAAGGGAACTAATTCCAGGCATGAGGGCTCTGCCTTCGTAACCTAATCACCTTCCCCCAAGGCATCATCCCCTAATCCTAATCCTATCATTTTAGGGGCAGGGATTTCAACAAATGAACTGCGGGGGGGGGGGGGGGGGGCGGGCGGGGAGATTTGGTGTATAGCACTAAACAATATTGCTTAATGATTAAGACGACGCTTGGCTGGTAAATTTCATCTGGATTTGGGGAGACTGCAAATGAACTTTTTTTTTTTGAAGATTTTTCAAAATGTATTCATTTGAGAGAGAAAGAGTCCGCCAGCAAGAGCAGGAACGGGGGGGAGGGTCAAAGGGAGAGGGAGCCCGAGGCGGGGCTCATCCCAGCACCCTGGGATCACGACCCAAGTCAAAGGCAGACACCCAACCCACCCAACCAACCGAGACACCCAGGCACCCCTGTAAATGATCTTTAAATCAGACAAGGGAGGTGCGGGTTCCCCTGAGTGCGGTGATTCTTATAACTGGAATGTCCCTTAGAGACCCTAGAAGCCCACCGAATTGTTATTTAAAAAAAAAAAAAAAAAAAAAAAATTTAGCAGCTGTGAGATTCGAGGCTTCCCTGCAAACGGCAGCGCGGGCCTTGCCTGCTGTGTCTCTCCTGTCCCGGCCCAGAGCTGAAATTCTGCAAGGTCTCGCTCTGCAGAGGAACACCCGATGATGCTCTGCGCATGCGCTGTGGCTCGGTCCTGACACCGCCGCCGCAGCCTGGGCCAAGTGCATCCCGATCGTCTTCACTTTCAATATTTGACTCTAACAAGAGCCCTGGATGGACACTGCAGACACACAAACAAGTGCTTTTCTATTATTTTACGAAAAGCAAATCATACCACCAAGGCTTGCGTTGGCCCATTTTTACAACCCTTAAAATATGATGGCCATCTTTCTGATATTAAATATTCTATATTATATGCAATAACTGCATAATATCCATTGAATACACCATAATTTACTAAGCCTGGTGTTGGGCATAAAGGTTTTTCTCAGTTTTTCTGCTATTTTGAACCACACCTTAAGAAACAAGTATGATACTAAATTGATATATACACGACTCTTCTAAGGATATAATCCTAAAAATGAGAAAGTCACTTGTATGCTGCCTGAATTCAGGCTGGTCCTGAAATTTCTCCAAAATCCTTCTATGACTATCTCTTTGAAATGAATGCTTTTATTCAGTTCTTCAGTTCACTAGGTAAAAGCCTTATCCATACCTATTTTTCAATTATCCGGTACTATATTTGCAAGATTAACTAAGTAGTAAATACTATTTTCCAGAAATTTTCCATAGAATAAATCCACTTGATCCAGGCAAATATACTGCTTATAGCTTTATAAATCTAACAGTCATAGCTTTTAAGTTAGAGTTAAGGAATAAAATTAAGTTTATAGCCTATACATTTTTTTTCTTGCCAGTTAAATTGAAACAAGGAGAAGTTTCTTTGGTTCCTGGAGCATGTTTATAAACCTCTTCTAAAATTGGAAGTAATTTATGACTGAATGTTCTGTACAATACAGCTGTGTATCCATCTGGCCCTGGTGCTTTATTACCTGATATGTCTTACAGGGCACTTTTAAAAAATTTCTTTTCATCCACAGGGCTTATTTAATTTCCCTTTGCGTCTGGCCTCAATAATTCCAAAACTCTATTTCATCCTCATGGCAAACACACAAAATAAATCCCATAATCCTGCATGCTATCTTCCAGCAGTCATATTTATGAGGTCCATAAATCAAGGAGAAGCTTTGAAAGGGATTTTTCTTATATTTAGAATTTGTTCAATCCCATGCATGAGCTAAACTTCAACTGATATTGAAGTTGGCTTTTGTCCCAAGTGGCAATATGCCTTTTTAGAATCACAGATCTATCTACAAAGAAACTGCCAACATCTTAACAAATGTTTCTTCTCAAAGAAGAGACCGTTTCTAAGAAGGTTACTCACCATATTTCGAGGGGCAACACAAGCAGGTCAATTAATTCAATAAGCATTTACTGGGCTTTCTCTGACTTTTGACCCAATAGGAGTAAGAAAACAGTGACCGCCGTTGGTTCCAACAAGACTGACATCTCCTGGAAAGACCAGGAATCCTGAGCCCTAGCAGCCAGGTGTAGGCTGTGGTTAATTATCAGAGTGGACCAGTGAGCGAGGCTCAGTACAGAGACCCTAGACACAGTCTTTGAGGGCCCTCACTCCCACACTCCTCTGTTTCTAGACTTGAGGGCACAACCATGAGAGAGGCAAGAAGATGAAGTTATTTTTAATGCCTTGTATAAGTTCAAACGAGGGGGACCCATCTCCACTGTGAATGCAAAAAGGCAGTATACTTGTGAAATGGCAAATCGTGGATCGTGAACTCAGGCAAAACCTGAGCAAATGGGGCTGAATACCTTGGAGAGGTGTTGAGCCCAAGAGACAGAGTGAGGGAAAGGCTGCGATCTACTTGGGTTCCTCCACTGGCCCATTCCCAACAATAAAATCAAACTTCCACTTGGTCTCAATGCCAATAGGAACTACAGCAAATGAGGTGACCATCGTGATCCCCTCCAAAAGCAGGTGTGTTGCCTGAGTTGAGGGAAGATGGAGTTGGATGTGTGAAGGGGTGCTTCCTACTGGTCTAGGGCATAATGTTACACATTCTAAAGAGAACCTGGACCACAAGATTGAAAGCCACCTATGTGAGTTTTGTTCTTAATGTTCCTAAGCAACAAGGAAAAGATATTTAAAATTATAAATTATCCTTAACATTCTCTTCAACTCAAAGCATCTTAACTACATGGCTAATCATGGCTACCATTATTTGCTTAAAGCTTACACTCCTCTAGGCACAAGGGTGAGCGGATCATGAGTAACACCTCGCGGATCATGAGTAACACCTCATTTACTAAGTATTAAAAACAGCAGAGTATAAGAGTTAAGTAGTATAAAACTATAAGATTCTCCCTGGATTTCCTTTAGAGCAAGAAGTAGGTCTTATTTATCTTTGCATGGGTGAGACAGTACTGGGCATACAGTGAGCACTCAATAAATCTTGAACTAAATGATCTCAAGCTATAATGAATTCAAGCAGTGAAAATTCCTCCAGAGAGAAGAAAAAGCCTTACAATTTTGGCAGGCATTCAGTATTTATTTTTAGTAATGTAAATGACATCATAGAAAAATTATATCCCCTAGAGTGTATTATTCTATTTGCTTTAAATATGCCATCTCAGAATAAAAAATCAAAGCCTGAGCCTATTCTAGGAGCAGCATTCAATTTTACTTCCTTGCTAAGAGAGGATTTGTCCAACTTATCCACAGCGGGAACAGTTCCCGAAGTAGCTTCCGCAGAGTGCCAGTCCTAAGGGTCACTCGTGGGTGGTGTGCACCATCAGCGAGGCCATCGAATGGGTTCTGTGTCAAGTGAGAGTGCACTGAGTAGTTCAACTAGTGTTTTTGCTGGAAGACATACTGGAATCTTTGTACTGCCCTAGGTACCTTGTAAACCTCCCCAAAAGAGGATCCAGGTGGTGGCATTTCTCAGATTCCTTGTGCAGGGAAGTGCCTTTTCATGGTACATCTTGAGGAGCGATGTTTTCCTGAACCCACTTTGGGAAGCACCGGCCTAGGTCAGCCGTGCGTCTCCACCTACATCTCCAGTGGTATTCTTTCGGTTCTTATTTTCCTAACTGGCCATCCATTTGTAGTCCCTGGGACTCTTCTGCTTGTGGTGTAGAATATTAGGAGAAGAGACAAGAAACAGAGTGTTCCAGAATTGTCTCTTCTTGAGCACCAGTTTCTACTGAGGCGGCTAAGAAATGCCTTCGGAGGCGCTGGGAACTATGGCAAAGCTGACAGGATAACTGAGACAAGGGAAACTGAGGAGAACTCGGGAGAAGAAGAAGAAAAGAGAAAAAGGAAAAGACAACATAAGAAGGGATACCTGGGGAGAAGGGAGGTGAACCACAAACAATTAGCACCCACCTTCCACATTAACATGATGACCCCAGAGCCGAGTGAAGCTGAAGCCATCAGCGAGGGGGTATTCCCGCAGGAGTAGCTGATCAGCCGCCTGTCAGGGAGCCTTTTCCCTCGGGCCTCAGCCTCTCAGCCTTCGCCTCCTGAGCCAAGGGAAGCCATGTACATACCCAGCAAACCTTTACCATCCCTGTGATGTCTTCTTACTGTTTCTCACTATCAGGGATTCTGCTATTTTGAATGATAATATACCATGTGCTAAAATGATTTGCTCTTGACAAAAGCAAAAGCACACAAAGCTTGAGTGGCAGGCAAAGACCGTGTCCATTTGGCTTTAGAGGCTCAGATTCATAACTGTTCGGGGTCTAAGGACTTCAGAGGCAAGCTTGTATTGGTGACCGTCTTTGCAAGTGGCCCTCAGAAATGGGTGTGTGTAAACATTGTTCTTTATCTGAAGAACATTAAAGGTAAACCACCAGCTCACCTGTTCACATGGCTTCCTGGCAGGAGGGGCAGTTGAGGTGATTGCTTGGAGCCTGTCCACTGTTATTAAATATTTGCACTGCCAATACCAGATACTACCCGGCAATTTGAAATGTTACCTGCAATAGTGACATCTGGTGGCTGCTATGTCTTACTGCACCTCCTTAAGGCAGGACATAAGGCCTAAGATTGTAAGCAATAAATTTTCGGTCACAACATAAAAGTATTACATGAGTTCTGGAAAAGGAATCCAGAAATGTTAAGATTTAACAACTTCCACTCAAAGCTTATGCTACTCACTATATTAAAAATTATTACAAAAAAAATAAATGAAAATTATGACCAAAGAATTATTGTGGTAGAAGTCCTTGTTTCTACAGGGGAAGTAGCTAAGGAAATATCCAATTATTTTGCAAGGGGTACAGCACGTCAGCAAGCAATGTTTGAGGTGAGATTGGTTTTCCATGATCTCACCCACACACCTGCTAAGTGGGTGGCAGCCCATGCACTATGACTTTAAAAATTAAATGGACAACACGCATTCTCTCCTGAGAATTGTGGAACTGAGAGAATAAATAAATAACATCATTTATCTGGAGAGATGAAGGTAGAGTATCCCATGAGGTACAGAGATAGCCAAAATGGGCCCTGTATGCGACGAAGTTTTGCGGGCTCAGGGTCTAAGAAGATTAAAGACAAAGCTGACCAGGAGACAGAAGAAAATAAACAGTGTGCAAAGAGAATCAGGAAGCATGAAGAAAGGGAAATGTGGAGAAAGCAATGGACAGAGGCAGCTACCCTTGGTTTCTGCCCTTCTGTGAGCCTAATTTTTCTTTTTTTTTAATAAGATTTCGTTTATTTATTTATTTGAGAGAGAGAGAGAGAGAGTGCATGCAAGTTGCGGGGGGAGCAGAGGGAGAGGGACAAGCAGACGCCACGATGAGTGCGAGCCTGATTCTGGGCTCACTCAATCCCACGACACTGAAATCATGACCTGAGCCAAAACCAAGAGTCAGACGCATAACCAACTAAGCCACCCAGGTGCCCCGAGCCTAATTTTTCTTTAATTAAAAAAAAAAAAAAGTCACAGAGGTAACTTGAGTGATTTCCAAGGCACAAAAGGAGTCCTGGATCTCTTAATTAAAATATTAAGTCTTTCTTACAAATCTGAATTGCTTTTCATCCCGCACTAATTCTCAGTACTCTTGTTGCCTATTTTCCTTATTTTTCTCCAATGCTCAACAGCACTGATAGAGAGGGCTTTTCAACTGGAACAAGATTGGACACTTTGCTTCCATGTAGTTGCATTAAAGACTCAGCCACGTGAGAAAAATATAACCTAAGGATATCTTTGTAACTCAGAAAGGCCCAGTTCAGTTCTGCCCCAGTGCTTGTTTAGAGTCAAACTGAACACATTCAAGTCTGCTTACCCATCTTCCCTGTCCTGCCCTGAAGACCCATTCCCCCCACATTGCCAACTTCCTCCCCAGCACCTAAGCCAGAAAGCGAAGACTCATTCTAGATCCTCTCTCCTGCCCTACATCCATTCTGGTGTCACCAAATCTGTTTAACTTAGAATTGCAGAGCATAAATCTTAGCCACTGCTATAGACTAAAGGTTTGTGTTCCCCCACAATTCATATGTTGAAGCCTAATCCCCAATGTGATGGTGTTTGGAGATAGCACTACTGGGAGGTTCTTAGGTCATGAGAGTGGAATCCTCATGAACAGGATTGGTGCCCTTTTAAAAGACACCGCAAAGGGCACCTGGGTGGCTCAGTCAGTTAAGCGTCTGCCTTAGGCTCAGGTCATGATCCCGGAGTCCTGGATCGAGTCCCACAGCAGGCTCCCTGCTCAGCAGGGAGTCTGCTTCTCCCTCTGCCCCTCCCCCCACTTGTGCACTCGTGCTCTCTCACTCACTCTCTCTCTCAAATTAAAAAACAAAACAAAACAAAACCAAAAAAAACCTGCTTAAAAGAGACCCCAGAGAGCTCCCTTGTCCCTCCCTGTAAGGACACAACACAAAGACAGCTGGCTATGAGCCAGGAAGCAGACCCTCACTAAATCAACAGACATCTTGATCTTCAACTTCCCAGCCTCCAGAACTATGAGAAATGAATTTCTGTTATTTATAAGCCACCCTGTCTAGAATATTCTGTTACAGCAGTACAAACTGACTATGACAGCCACCAACTTGCTTGGTGTCGTTTTCTTACATAATGCTTCATTCCCTTGACCTACAACAGAAATGCTTCTTAGTTAAAACAAAAACCTAATCAGTTATACCACCATTGTTGACAGTCAGGACCAATGGGCATTTTTTTCCTATTGTAAACTGATAACAGCTATAAATCAAAATTTGGCCTTAAGTCAACATTTATTTATCCAACATATAATGTGACTAAGTAATATGCATCAGGCATGCAGATAACAAATATGATTCAAATAACTTGTTTTAAAGAGACATACTTTTAAATTAACTACAATTAGTGCTCGCTTCGGCAGCACATATACTAAAATTAACTACAATTAAATGGTATGCATGCTATAATAAATATCTGGATGAAAAATACAAGGTAACACAGGAAGAAACAATGAATTCTACTTAAAGAATAGAGATGAGAAAAGAACGTCAATGTTTAGAATCAAGAAGGTAACAAAAAAAAGTGTTAGGAATATAATTTGTGTCTGCTGTTATGAACTAAGAAAGAAAAAAATATCCTAATACATGATTTATGTGCAATAAATCCTAATACATGATTTATCTGATCTGTGACTGACTGCATGTAAAATGTAAATAAACATTATTTCCCGCTATCCAGGTGCTCGCTTCAGCAGCACATATACTATTTCCCGCTATCCAGCATCCTCCCATAAAAACAGTAGCAAAATAGGGGGGGAAATGAGATTTGGCTTTTCCCAGAGACGGGTGGTAAGGCCAATAATTCTTGAAGTTCTCCCAGTGAGAGGACCTGGGAGCAGAGTGGGTGGTCCATGTGCTGACCTGTCCTCAGGTGCTGTCCCCCACCAACCTGTGCCCCACCCCCAGCCCAAATGTCCTCTATGGTCATGTGCTCATCATAATGATGGGCTGAGAATCTGGAAACCTTGTGTGGAGATGGAGGTGTGCAGAAAGAATCTTGCCCACTGATCAAGGTCGAACAGAACAAATCAGTTGAGAATCGTTCTGTGGATCAGAGCTGCAGGAAGCAAATAACCACTGTCACACCGTTTGCCTTGTTGGTCAGGGTTGTCAAAATGGACACCACAGCAAAGGGGCACAAACAACACAGCATTTTCACGCCGAGACCATTTTCTGAGAGGAACAGACAATATACTATGCTCCATATTCTCTCGTCAGTTCAAGGCCATCCGAGGAGGATGTTGGCCACCTAGGTCATCCTAGACTTCCCAGAACATTCTAGCAGTACAGACTCTTTACTCTTTCAAACATCACAGTTCCCAGTACACCAAAAACTTAGAATCCTAAGAAAAGAACCCAGAAGAAGAGAAGGAGGGAGAGGCAAAGTGTCAGAAGTCTTCTTTATTTGGGATGCTACATTGAGACTGAGGCGAACTAAATCAAGTGACTTCCGACCTCACCTCTGGGGACGCTATGTCCCCCACATAGGGGAGCCATCTTCCTCCCCTGGGGTGGGAATATGACAATTAACAAAGTGATATGGAATTTGAATACAAATAAATTGTGCTGAATCTCACATATGGTGCCCTAAAAATGTCCAAAATGATGTCATCCAAAGTAGGGGGGGGACTGCAATTAGATGGATGAGGAAGAGGCATTTGAGAAAACAGATTAATGATGGCTTTGACACAATCAGCCTGAGAGGAATACTGGTTTCCATGACAACCAAACCACTTAACCTAAATTAACAAAGCTGTTAAAAAAGAAAAACTTAAAAGATGGGGAGGGGAAAACCCAGTGCATCCTCTTTGGGGAAATTAAGCAGCCTGTCCCATCAGCGCCTGTGAGAGGTGTGTGCGTTAACTACATATCCGCAGGGTGTGTATTCTCTTACACTCCCTGGTTCCCAGTAATTAGTTTTCAGAAGCAGTCCAAAGATGTTGAGAAATTGCAACTAATTAGCGCAGTTTTCTGATAGAACAGCCTTATTAACCCAACGCCGCCTTAGCCAGGCAGCAAGGATAAGGAATAGACAAAGGGCTGCTTCTTGCATTTCCCCAACTTTGCGTTGATGTTCACAACATCTTCCCAGAACCACTTTCCCAGAATCGGGCAGGTCAGGCCAAACTCCGGAATCTCTTTTGTAGCAGAGAATCGCTGCTTTTACAGAGAAACATGCAGGCCATTCACAATGAGACAGGTTCAAAGCAAATAATACAATGTTTATGCACAACTGAATGTCTCCCATGCAATGAAAAGAACTGTATTTTCCTGAGTTGCTTCTAAGACAGTGGAGAACTATCCCCCAGTTTTTCTGGGTCTGCCATGAACTCGTCTGAGCCGCGGTGGACTCAACTAGAGGTGAATCCATCAGAGCGAGGAGAGCAGAGAGAAAGCAGTACAGTACATCTCTATCGGCTTGAAATTCTTGCTAATTCCAATGCTAGTCCTCCACTCCCACTGAGCCTGAAGATGATTGGAAAATGGGGACTTTGCCTCTTTGTTGTCTCTGTTAAAAATGTGTCTCGTATGGATAGTCGACTGCCAACATAAACAAGAAAAGAAATAGGAACCCTAAAAATATCGGGAGCCCTGTCACGGTTTAGCATTTCTTAGAGGTGATATCCTCTGAGTTTATGAGGAAAAAGATACGTTAAGTATTGTAACCAATTAAGTTATGGTAAACCCTTGTTAATACTTTCAGTAGTCCTCCCAGGGGGTGCCTGAAACTGTAGAGTACCAACCCCTACATACATGATGTTTTTTCCTATATGTGCATACCAATGATAAAATTTTATTCATAAAATTAGGCACAGTAAGAGAATAATAATAATGATGTATTAATATAATATTATAATAATAACTAATATTAAAAATGGAACAACCATAATAATATACTGTAATAAAAGTTATCTGAATGTGATCTCTCTCTCAAAATATCTCATCGCACTGTACTCTGCCTTCTCATGATGTAGTGAGACAAGATGTCCAGATGATAAGATGAGGTGAGGGGAAGGACGGAGGCGCTGTGACCCAGCACCCGGCTACCACTGACCTTCTGGCGATATGTCGGTAGGAGGGTCGTCTGCTTCCAGATGGTGGTTGGCTGTGGGTAACTGAAAAAGCAGAAAGCGAAACCATGCAAGACGGACAAGTGTATTACATTTTGTGAAAAATGAATAACACGTGAGGATTTTTAAAAATAAATCTCAAGTTAAACTGTAATAATTAGGGGCGCCTGGGTGGCTCAGTCAGTTAAGCGTCTGCCTTCAGCTCAGGTCATGACCCCAGGGTGCTGGGATCGAGCCCCACATCAGGCTCCCTGCTCAGTGGGGAGCCTGCTTCTCCCTCTACCTCTGCCTGCCGCTCCCCCTGCTTGGGCTCACTCTCTCTCTACAAATAAATAAATAAAATATTTAAAAATTTGTAAAAATTACATCTAAAAGGTAGGAAATATGCACATTGGACATTTTTTTAGCAAGTAGCCTGGTGCATGCCCACACAGCCTCCACGCAGGTGTTATCTCCTGTTTCACGACTTTCTTGTAAATTTGACTGACACTCTGCTTCCGATGCTGAGGATGAGAGAAACATCACTTTAGCTGAGAAAGAGAGTCACTGTTAATGCAGTAAAAGAGAAGAGTGCCTCAGAGTTTAAATTTTGCCTTGCACTTTTCACATGTCATTGGTGACTTTTATTTCTTCTTCTGTGTATTGCCTGTGTGCTTTTATTCTTCTGCGAGGGTCTTAGAATTTTTCTTCTAACTACTTATCACTTTAAAACTTACCATGTTCGGGACACCTGCGTGGCTCAGTCGTTAAGCGTCTGCCTTCGGCTCAGGTCATGATCCCAGGGTCCTGGGATCGAGCCCTGGGGCTCCCTCCTCTGCAGGAAGCCTGCTTCTCCCTCTCCCACTCCCCCTGCTTGTGTTCCTTCTCTCGCTGTGTCTCTCGCTGTCAAATAAATAAATAAAATCTTTAAAAAAATTAAAATAAAATAAAATTTACCATGTTCAAGTGTACAATTTAGTGGGTTTTTGTATATTCACAGAGTTCTGCAACTATCACCACTATCTAATTCCAAAACATTTTCATGCCCAGAAAGACACCCTATCCCCCTTAAGAGACACTCCCCAATCCGCCCTTCCTCCAGCCTCCGGCAACCAACCTACTTTCTGTCTATTCTGGACATTTCATCATAATAGAATCATGTCATTTGTGGCTTTTGTGTTGGGCTTCTTTCACTTAGTATAATCTTTTTAAGATTGTCTATGTCTCAGTACTTCATTCCTTTTTTCAGTAATATTTCAATGTATCCACATTTTATCTATTCATCACTTGATGGACATTTGTGTTTTTCCTACCTTTTTACTATATAATGCTGCTATAAACATTCATGTACAGATTTCTGCATGGACATACATTGTTTTGTTTTGTTTTGTTTTTTAAGATTTTATTTATTTATTTGACAGAGAGAGAGAGAGCACACACACAAGCAGGGGGAGCAGCAGGCAGAGGGAGAGAGAGAAGCAGGCTCTCCGTTGAGCAGGGAGCCCCATGTGGGACTCGATCCAGGACCCTGGGATCATGACCTGGGCGGAAGGCAGTTGCTTAACCAACTGAGCCACCCAGGCGCCCTGGACATATGTTTTTAATTCTCTTGGACATACACCTAGGAGTGAAACTCCAATATTTTTGTTTCATAATGTCTTTCCCACTAATTTTTTATTTTTGTTCTTACAGTTAAACTCCTATTTATATAAGGATTGGTTTCAGCACTAATCTCTTCCACTATCTGGTCACTTCTTTTGCAAATACTACGCATTTTCCATTTTAGTAGCCTTATGTTTTATTAGCACATAGAGCAAGTCACTTTTAATTTCTCCTTTCTTAATTTCTCAGCGATTATTGCCTGCTTACTCTTCACTACCAACTTTGCCATCATTATACCTTGCTACTGGTATTTTGATTGGGAGTGGGAAGTTAACTTGGGAAAACTGAGTGATATCCTTTGCAAGATCTCATCTTTCTACCCACCAAACATGATATCTCTCTTCTTTTATTTAAATCTCCTACTATTTCTCCAATTTCCCTCACACAGGACTCACCTATTTCTTGTTAAAGGAGTAACTGGATAACTCGAACCTCTGGGAAGGTGACAGTGGGACTCAGTTGATGAGAAGTTAACCAAGCAAAGACCTGAAGGAAGACTACTGTGGGCACAGCAAATGGTAAGGGCAAAGGCGCTTGGGTAAACACAAGTTAGAACATGCAAGGAACAGAGAGAAGGTGAGTATAGCCAGGACAGTGTGAGCAAGAAGAGTAGAAGGAATGAAGTCAGACTTCTCAGATCCCAGATCAAATAAGGCCTTCATGGTCATATAAGGAACTTGGACTTCTCCCTCACACAAATAGGAAGCCACAGGAGATTTTAAAGCAGGCATTGACATGATCTCAAATAAAGGCAGCGTCCCCTAGTCCAGCTGGGAAGTGACCATCTTGATACGGCCAGGGCCAAGACTGAAGAGCCACAGAGAACATCTGCGTGCTGGGAGAAGCAGGTCCAGAAACACTCACCTTTTCTGAGTGCGCTCATCAGGACCACTAACCCCCCTTGCCACCCACAGGCCACCAACCACTGCTCATACACTTACTATGCTGGAGGCTGGACCTGAAGCCACCGGCACCCACCAGAGGGAACTGAGGGTCCCAGGAGCACCCAGTCCCCATCTTCCCACTCAAACTCCTATGAAAAAGCCCACATGATGCCAACACTTCTGGAAAGAAGTTAGTCAGCAAATACCCGCCTCCCAACTACTTCTCCATGGCTCTCCCTCAAAGCTGCTCCCAGGAAGAGCCGGGCAGGATGGGGATTTCCAATATAAAGAAATGACGCAGTCACTGAAATCACCCACAAGCTCAAAGGGGTTCGCCATGGCCTCTTATCCAGCAGGAAGCTGCCATCTACACAGCAGTTAGAAGCCTTGACCTCCATCCCTCCGGTTTCCCCAGCCATAAACCACAGCAGGCTCACATGCGCAGAAACACCACTGAGCCCACGTCCCCTCGCCTGGCAAGGGAGCTGTACCTGCTGCCAGGCTGAGCGGGCCTATCCACAGTTGGATAGGTTTCAAATTCTAGAGAATTGTTGCTCAGATCCATCCGAACCTCCTTCTACTGGGCCTTCCTGAACTGAAGAAGCTTGGAAGCTAAAAACTACATTTCCCAGATGCCCTTGCTGCTATAGATCTGGTCACAAATTCAGTTAGATGCCCTAACAGGAGACCTGAAGGCAGAAGTGAGGAAGAACCATCCTCCTGCAATTTGGGGCTATTTCTGGCAAGCAAGGTTGTAGAGACAAGGGATTTGTCGGCAGGAAGGTTCTGTGTACCATATCTAAAGAGCAGGTGACTTCCTGATAGGATTACAGCCACACGGCAGGATTTTTAACTCAAGTTTAAATGTGGTAGCCTCTTAATTCTCCACCTTCCCGATTGTGACCCCTGATGAGTGGCTTCTTTTCATGTTCTGGAGTCATTCCTGGAGGCCCAGCCTAGAACCTACTTGTCCAACCAGTCTAATGATTTTGTAAGCACCTAGTTTCCTGGACAATGTCTTTTTCTTCTTAAAGTACCTAGAGTGCTGGAGACGCCTGGGTGGCTCAGGTCATGATCCCAGGGTCCTGGGATTGAGCCCTGAGTCAGTCTTCCTGCTCAGTGGGGAGCCTGCTTCTCCCTCTCCCTCTGCCTGCCTCTCTGCCTACTTGTGCTCTCTATCTCTCTGTCAAATAAATAAAATCTTTAAAAAAAAAAAAAAAAAAAGTACCTAGAGTGCTGGGAAAAAGAGAGAGAGACAAATCAAGAAACAGGCTCGTAATTATAGAGAACAAGCTGATGGTTATGAGGGGAGGGGGCTGAGGGGTTGGGTGAAATAGGTGATGGGGATGAAGGAGGGCACTTGTCATGAGGAGCACTGGGTGATGTATGGAAGTGTCGAATCACTATATGGTACGCCTGAAATTAATATAACACTGTATGTTAACTAACAGGGATTGAAATAAAAACTTTAAAATAATAAATTAAATAAAAACATGTTCTAAAAAAAGGACCAAAAATGCTTTCTGTCAAACCCCAACTGATATTCAAATAGCAATAAGCAACCATGAGAGAACCAGCAAGGGGTTTCTCTCCTTAGCAATCCCCATAGCCGTCCATGCAGCCTCTTCACTGGGCCAGTAAATCAATTTTACAAGGACTACTGTCCTAGAGAGGAAAGTGCCGACATGTACCACCTCTCCTTCTCTACACTCAGACTTAGTCATCGATCAAGTTTGAAGGAGCCTCCAAGCTTCTCTTCTCTGGCTGTTCTATGTATTCTACGTAATGAATGCCCATGCTTTGCCAAGGCTGCTTGCAAGGGACTGCAAAGTCCTCGAAGTCCCCAAAGCAAATTCTTGGTATAATCATGCCAGGGACCAGTAGGTAGCCACCAAACTGTCCCTGCAGATCAAATCTATGTTAACAATGAAAGGAGAAATGAGCACTTCAGAAGCGGACTTCCATGCCTGCCTGAGGCCTCTCCCTGCAGCTCTAAAACCCAAAGGAAACTTTCAGCAGGGCAGCCTCTGCCCAAGAGATGAACATCAGGCAGCCTTAAGGCAGGGGGAAAAGGGGGGAAATGGGAAAGCCATAGGGCAGCCCATTTAATCTTGAAATAAAATGTTTCTGCACAAGGCAGACTCTCCACATGTGTGTATGCGTGTGTATCCATGTACACACAAGAACACATGCATATACATACACTTTGTATTGGTAGGGATCTTAAGGGGGGAGAAAAAGAAGGACACCGGGGTGGCTCAGTCAGTTAAGTATCTGCCTTTGGTTCAGGTCATGATCTCGGGGTCCTGGGATTGAGCCCCACGTTGGGCTCTCTGCTCAGCGGTGAGTCTCCTTCTCCCTCTCCCTCTGTGCTCTCTCTTTCTCTCCCTCTCTCTGTCCCTCTCTCTCAAGTAAATAAATAAAAATCTTTTTTAAAAAAAAAAAAAGAAGGGGAGCCTCGGTGGCTCAGTCGTTAAGCGTCTGCCTTCGGCTCAGGTCATGATCCCAGGGTCCTGGGATC